AGCGAGCCGTCACGGCAGGTCGTCTCTTCAGGCAAGTGTTGGCCGAAGTGCATGCTCCTGAGCTTTCTCCACTCGCGGCCAATCGGCGTAGGACGCTGCCACAAATCCGTCGATGGCGCTTCGGATCACCTTTCGCAATAATTATCTGCCGTCTCAAATATTAAAAGGCCGTGGTAATTTGGAAAGGAAAACGGATTAGACAAGCCGTTTAATCACGTAGTCAGCCAGACCACCCAGGGTCCATTCCATTTCTCCACCTCCCTCCCGTACGGCAGATTCACATTTGGCATGATTTAGCACCCAACTGAGTTCCCACATATGAGGGGCCTTCCTTCCAATCCCATATGTCCGACTAGCAAATCGTTCATTACACAAAGACGGCCTAAAGTGGTACGCTGAAGGAAATCGCTAGGAATGGAAGATGGAGCAGACACGGCGTTCAAATGTCACATTTGCTGACGACAGTGAATTGGATAGGAATGAAGAGATTTTAGAAGAAGAGGCAGATTATATGACCGTCGAAATATAGCAAAAATCTTTAATATAAGACCATTTTGAGGACTTTCCAGGTTGAAGTATCTCATCACAGTTGTGTTGCCTAGTCCACTATTCCTTTCTATAGGAGTTTAGGACACAAGGTGGCAGGATTGGCCTGTATCCATGACGTCACGATCATAAACGACATTTTAAGCTTCAACCTTACCAAGTTTACTTTTAAATGTGCTAAATATTCACAGGAAACTGTTCGGACACACTGCCGACATCCTTAAGGAATTCATGTAAACTGCTTAAACAACCTCTGTGTAAGAAAATTCAAAGCATCGTGAGAGAGCTTTCAAATGTATTTGATTCCAGAAAATACCTCACATCCAACGATAATGCGATGAGATCACGCTTGAGTCGCATGCAATCCAAATTGAACAGATGAATGTCGATGCACGTAAATCCGTGAATGCATCCCTCGTGAAGCGGCAACATAGGATGGCGACCGCTGCATCGAGCAATAGGGCTTACTTGACAAATATCAGCTTCTTATATGTGAGATTTGGCCTGAGTATAATAGCCTACATATTCCTCAGAACTGAGGGGCGGAAGGACTGCATGCCAGTCAAAGTGAATGTCACGGCTACTCGGTTGCCACTTTCTGTGGAACGCTAGCAGATCTAGTGACCAACTTTACAGTCATGTTCGAGATTCAGCCAAACTGCCTAGTTTAGTTCTCCAAAAATATCACAACTGGGCGAAAGTCAAAGCCATTTTTTATACTCTGGCCATTTGCTTTGCTAGCGACTATTCTAGACCAAATCTGCGCACTTGCATTTGTCTTCCTGGTAAAGGTTGCAATGCAGATTGAGGGGTCTACTGAAAGGGCCTTCACCAACTTCAGACTTTATGTTTCAGTCCATGCAAATCAGGTGAGGAGAGACATTACATTCAAAAAGAGTGGAAACACCTGTGGCAGTTCGCGTCTCCTTGCCCTCCGCCTTTGTCACGCTGCCTTCTTGTCCGCCTCACGCTCTTTGTCGATACGCTGCTGGGACGCGCGAGTGCTCGAAGCCAATCAACGTTGTCCCCACTCTGATTGGCTGGCGACGTGGAGACAACGAAGGGCGCAGACACGAGACAACACCTGGAAGGCGGACACAGACAACAACTTGTCTGGAGAGCACGCTTGCGGCGACTGCCCACACAGCCTTGGTGTACACGCTTTCCAAACAGTAAAGGTTGTCCCACTCATTCCGTCTTCCCTGACTTTTGATTGGGAATCTTTATCTTGTCGACCACACAACATTCGACACACGTGCTGAAAACAATTCAGGTGACAGAATATGTGCAATCGTGCACCAAAAAACATTAATATACTTACCAGGCAATCAGTTGTTTGGAAACAATAATAAATTCCAGGTCTGGATAAATATCCCAGGAGTAACCACGAAAAAGCCCCAGCAAACTGCCGGTTTGAGGACAGAAGTTAGACTTCTTTGAAGAAGAAGAAGAAGAAGAAGAAGAGTCGAGCACCGGAACAATTCGTTTATTATCCTGAGCTTTCAGACTCGTACAGGAGTCCATCTTCAGAGGTAGTGGCAGTTATAAGGCACGTAGACCCAATCATCGACCGACGTCGCACGACTGGAGGTGACTACGAAGGGCTCTGTACGCCGGCGCTAGATCGATAAGCCGATTGACCGAGTTCTCATCCGAGGCCCAGGCTTCAATCAATTCTCGGCCTGTTTTGTTTCCGGCGTGGGCGACTATTTTGGTGGCTGCGAAGTCAAACTCGTAAGACTTCTATTCACTTCTAGTTAAAACACAACTTGACCCGAGTCAGATTAGAATAACGGTCTCTTGGGCCCTCAAGGCTCAGGTGTCTGAAGACTAATCAGGCATTCCCCTTACTGTCATGAATTAGAATCTAAGAGAGATCGCGGAGATTACCACATATGTGCCAAAATAAATTACACAAAATCAGGCCGTGGGCATGGCTGCCCACCCATCAACCTCCCCCTTCTGACCCTTTGTGGTGCTGCTGTTATTGTTGGTTAAAATCCTAGTCATTTAGTGTGCGCACCAGGGGGTGTGGAGTGGAACGCCAAGCTGCTGGCTCGCCGCAACATCCACTTGCGCCCTCCACCGCCTCCGGTCATCTTGACTCTGTCCTGACACCGGACTTAGGTGGGGGAAGAGGAGGGAGTGCGGTAGATGCTACGCAAGTCCACTATCATCATAGATTAAATCACGCGACAGTCATCGTGCCTGCTTCACATTGCTGTGGAGCACACGGTGGACATCGTCGGATTCGACGGCCGAACTGTCAAGCATCAGCCTGGCAAGTTGATTGGGTGCTAGCCGAGGTTGTGGATGACTGTGATTGGTTATCCCAGAAGCTGCATGCGTGCATGATCCGACAGCTCAGGAATCGCGATTACATTATCCCGAGGGCGGCCTGGATGCCAGTGACGGAGAGCTTGCATGCGCTTGAGGCGATACAGACCTAAGAAGTCGAGGAAGTTCTTGTCTCCACTGCTGTAAACCTAGTCCTTCATGGAGTGCTAAGGCAGTTATCCCGCCGGCACTCATCTCATCCTGCAGTCCTTTGCGAGGCAAAGCCGAGAACTTCCAGTCTCGCCGTCAGTGACAGTTCCGGCCCCTATGTCGCGGCCACAAAACCAATGGTATGGCCCCGCTGTAAATAGCGTAAACCTTATACTTCTCTCCTTCCGACATCGGTGTAGCACGTGTTGGGGCCTTGAGTAGTGCCTGTGTCGGGAGCATGCTTTGCTTCCTCACTTTCTTCAATACTTGGCTCTTACTTATTGCCTAAATAACTAGCTCTTAGAATGAAAAATTTACCAAATTCTAGGCTCATTCCCAAATGTCTAAAACCTCTCTCAGAAGGTTTATGAGTCAGTTAAACAAAAACTTGGCGCGTTAATTAGCTCTGCAGAAATCGGTGGATTTTTAAGACTAAGTCACCTCCTAAGGCACAGCTTATCCAGAAATTCGGGAATATTGAGACAAATTAATGATACAAGTATTTTCATCAGCATTTTCAGTTGCAACTGTAAGTATTTCATCCAGATTACGCTCTCTGTGAAGTAAAAAAGGCGCTGAAACGGGCGGTTGGTGTGCACGCTTTGCCATAAATCAGCGCGCTGAATTACCGTGATAATTCAAAATTTCGATCGATGATTGTCTCAGAGACTTCCAGCCCAGGCATTCACAGGCTCCTTCACTCTGACCGTACTCGAAGGTTTATTACGCAGAGTTTTCAAACAATTTTAACGCAGATGCTTCTGTAGAACCCTACCGCATGTGAGTCCAAAGTCATTTTAAAATTGTATATTTGCTTTGATTAGCCAGTTCTTAGCATTTTCAGACATTAGGACAACTTAAAGTTATTCCAAGATAGAGGTGAACGTCTACGATAAACAGATGGGCAGTCAGAAAGTTAACATCTTAGGACCTAAGGCATGGCAAGGCTCCTTACAGCTAATGTGAGCATGGAAATACGAGCGACCAATCCACGCAAACGTTACTGAGCCACTCGTCAATGGAATAGACCGTCTGCAGCAATCGAGCCCTGAGTGCTGAGGGCTGGCGGTAAATGCCTAAAGTGCTAATGGTGGCTGGGTCGCTTTCCGTAAATCTTTGGAATTAGGATGTTCCACGTTTCTCTGTCGAACAGTACGACGCATATTACGGAGGATGCGGCCAGGAAATGACCGATATCGTAAATGAGGGGGGGGGAGGTATTAATGCAGACGGAAACACGTCCCTCTGCGCGTTCTTATCGTGGACGGTGCCATAGGGGATTGTGGCGTCACATAACCCCCTCCGTCCGCGTCATAGCCCCTTCGAGACCCGGGGTTTTGACGGGGCGGAGCGGGGCTGGTGCTAGCAGGGTACGTTTCCAACTGTCAGCCTACCTCGTCAGACATCCCACGCATCTAAAGGGTCAGAGAAAGATGAGTTGGAAGCTTTTACGGGTGGACTTGGACTAAGTCACTTGGTTTTTGTCGAACGCAAGCATCCCTCGAAAGGTTGATTTCAAAAATCTCAGTTATAGGCTGTCCAGATGCATACCGTGTTTCATTATTATCATCCTAGTTGGCTGCTCTGCTTAGTCTGAACTTCGACTGCCTTTCACTTTTTCGTTCCACTACACTGCTCGAATTTTTATTAATTTCGAGCTGGAAATTCGTGCAAAATGTTGAAAAATCTTCGATAAAGCGCTTCAAAAGTCGGTTTCAGGAAATACATCCTTTCACGGATGGAAGCGAATATGCGAATCCCAGGTTCTTGTTGTAAAGAAGATGAAGACCAGATCTCTGGGACAGTGGGTTTATTAGTCTGAGCTTTCGGTCTCGTACAGGAGGCCATCGTCAGAGACCGTGAGAAGGCAACATCAAATGAGTGGTTTTTGTAGTCACGCCATGAAGGGGGGGGGGAGATATGAGTGCAGAGGGTGGTATTCGCGATATGTTGCGTCCCACGCCGTCTCACGGTGGCGTGCCTGCGTGCACCCTTGGCTGGAAATTGGGTCTCGCCCCTTGGCCGCGGGAACGGAGCGCGTGATAGCAGGGGGGTATATCAACGTGCCTGTTGATAGCGTTGGTGTCAGACACCCAGGCCTCTAACAGTTCTCGTCCTGTCTTATTGCTGGCCCGCGCCACTATCCGCGTGCTCGCAAAGTTGAATTCGTGGCCTTCCTCCAGGGTGTGAGTGGCGACCTGAGACAACGGGTCGCCTCTCCGGACCGCCCGTTTGTGCTCCGTTATTCGTGAGCTAAGTCGTCGTCCGGTTTGTCCAGTGTAGTGGCGAGGGCAGTCCCGACATGGGATCTGATAGACGACGCCCGATTGTTCACCCACATCTAGGCGATCCTTCACTTGCATGATTTTGCTGCGCATGGTCGCTGTCGGACGGTGAGCGATACCCACGCCGAGCTCTCCAGCGATACGTTCCATCGCTTCGGATACGTTCTTTATAAATGGCAGAGGGTGCCAGAGTGTTAGTGGCTCTCCTCCGTTTGTTCGCCGTGGGCGCGTGCGGAGGCAGCGGCTGACGAAGCTGTTCGGGTATCCATTCCTTGCCAGTTGGTCCCGAAGTTGCCGAAGTTCTCGTACTCGTCCCTCTGGTTCACTGCAGTGCGTTTTTACCCTCTGGAAGAGTGTCCTAACACAGCTGCGTTTATGCGCCATTGGGTGGTTACTGTGGTAGTTGAGAATCTGAGTCGTGTTAGTCGCCTTTCTGTACACCGTGGTGTTGAGTTCGCCGTTGGGTGTGCGTGTGACGAGAACGTCAAGGAAAGGCAGCTGTTCGGCATGCTCTTCTTCCCTTGTGAACTGGATGTCTGGGAAGATGCCGTTGAGCAGGTCTTGGAAGTCGGCCAGTCTGCTTCTTTCAATTATGACGAACGTGTCGTCCACGTACCGGCGCCAAAATGCAGGTTCATAGTGGTCGAAGGCGACTTTTTCCAGTTCCTGCAGGACTAGTTCTGCAACCAGGCTGGATATTAGCGAACCCATCGGCGTTCCTTTGATCTGCTCGTATGTTCTGCCATTGAAGGTGAAGAAGGTTTGTTGGCAAAAAGCAAACAGTTGCAGTAAGTGGTCGATTTTTAGGGGTTCGTCTCGTCGTAATTCTCTTCGAGTCGTGTGCGAAGAACGTCGCGTGCCAGGTCCGGTGGGATGGACGTGAATAATGAAACCACGTCAAAGGACACCATGATCTGCTCCGGTCGGACAACTTCTCCTCGGACCCAATTTCCAGCCAAGGGTGCACGCAGTCACGCCACCATGAGACGGCGTGGGACGCAACTTATCGCGAATACCACCCTCTGCACTCATATCTCCCCCCCCCCTTCATGGCGTGACTACAAAAACCACTCATTTGATGTTGCCTTCTCACAGTGTCTGACGATGGCCTCCTGTACGAACCGAAAGCTCAGACTAATAAACCCACTGTCCCAGAGATCGGGTCTTCATCTTCTTTACAATACATCCTTTCTTAGAGGCCTCCAAACACCATGGAAAATCACGCCCCTATGCTGGGCTGACTGAAAAAACAGATCGGCGTTTCTACTCGTTTCGCAGGTTGTCCTCAGTGGGGTCACCTCAAAGGGTTGACTTCCACAAATAGTGTTGGCCAATGGAGTTACTGCTCTTACACCGTCTCAGCGAGGGTCGTTTAATCTATCAGAAACCAATTCCAGAAAGATAAGAAGAACGTGAAGTCTTTGCTTGAATTTGAACGACACGACAGACGTCGTCGATGAGGCAGCCGAAACGTCGTCTTACTTGGCAGACATTGTCAGACCTTGTTGGTGTGGCAGTCATCTGGAGAACTACCATGTGCCCTCGCCTTCTCTGTCATAGAGGTCTAATATGTGCCTTGGCGGTCACTCCATACTCCAGCGCACACACTTACTTTCGCTGACTGGCCATATCACTCGGTATGCGGGTAAAGCTCTGCAAATTATCCTGCTACATGGGAGCGACGTTCTCAGTGCAAAATTAAGGCGAAGTGAACATGATCATCATTTGTTCCGTTGATAGCTACTCGTCGCGCACATACTGATGAGGAAAACGAAATGGGTTCGTGGGTAGCAATGCGATGCTTCAAATTCCCACGGAGGCGTGCGCACAACCGGCTCCACTTTCTACCTACTGATGCTTCCCTGAGTTAATTGTGTCGCTCTGGAGTTTTGCAGTCTGTATGGAAGACTGGTACAAGAAACTACGCAATGATTCTGACAAGATTTTCAGTAAGTACCAATTTCCATGAGTAAAATCGATCTACTCTTTTCTTATCAGTAGGCATTGAAAGCTTAATTCTCAAACAAATGCTCTCAAACCTCTGATTTTTACAATGTCCCACCAAATCTATTCATTTTGTAGGCTATCTATAGTGCAACTATACACTAAAATAGTTGAAATCGGTTAGCATTGCTCGACAGCTTCGCTTAGGGTTATCCAAGTAATATCAGTGGTACGGTTGATTACCCTACATACTCCCACTCCATTCCGTTCACATATCCGCAAAAAAGACCTTATGCAAGATTGTGTCACAAGATGGCTGTACAAAGAGTGAACCGTGGAAGCAAACATATTCAGTGAGGATTAAGGCTAAAGGTTGGCAGAGTACACGAGTTTGTGTGCTCTGGAATTTCGAGCCCTCGCCGGAACCTCTTGTGCAAGGAGTTAAAGGAAACACAAGACGCGTTGGTTATAACACACGTCAACAGTCTATGACCCCTGCTAAGCACCCGAAGACGACTGTTCAGGGCCTTGTGTGTGGGTGGAGAGGTAAAAAGCCGGTTGTAAGAGCCCTTGTCGGGGGTTCAGCCTCCAACAATCTCGATACTGCCTGATCAGTCGACCGTCTCGATGCCTGCGGAAAAGAGGGTGGGACCCGGTTTTAAGATGTTGGCCGACAAATGACGATGATTGGCCGTTTGACTGCCGCTCCCAACGATTTCTCCTGTGTGCCCTACGGCGTGACGAGCTCAGTGAAGATGGCTCGCGCCTGAGTTCGCTTAATTTGATAGTAGAATTGCGCAGCACTTATAACATCTGCATCTCGCTCACAATAAACTAAATCACGCGCCAGTCATCGTGCCTGCTTCACATTGCGGTGGAGCACACGGTGGACATCGTCGGATTCGACGGCCGAACTGTCAAGCATCAGCCTGGTAAGTTGATTGGGTGCTAGCCGAGGTTGTGGATGACTGTGATTGGTTATCCCGGAAGCTGCATGCGTGCATGTTCCGACCACACAGGAATCGCGATCGCATTATCCCGTAACAGTGGATCATCTGGCCGCGTCATCTGACGGCGGACGAACCTGTGTGCTATCCCCGGAATCCAAATTTTGACGAGCGCTCACCTATAACAGGCATCTCACCGTATCTTCCTGTGAGGCCAGCTTTTGAGTCGCCGCCCCACATACGGCTTGAACGTCTGCTTTTATATTTTGGATTGAGCTACCTGAGTGTTTTTGGTGTGCCTTAAACATGCGCTTGAGGCGATACAAGCCTAAGTATTTGAGGAAGTTTTTTGTCTCCGCTGCTGTAAACCTAGTTCTTCATGGAGTGCTGATGCAGTTATCCCGCCGGCAACGTTGGTCATCCAGATAACGCTCGCCAGATAGTTCGGAAACGAGTCGGATTGTTTTTAGTAGGGATGTGCACTGAGAGAGTCGACCCACTCTCCCGCCCACCAGTCGATTGTCCGAGTCAACCAACCAACTGATGCTGAGTTTGGACGCAGTAGCTGACAGAGCTAAGACACTCCGTCTGGGCCTGCCACACACGACCTGCCCGCCCTTCCCCTCCTCCCTCCCCAACGTAACACGCCAACGGTTCACACACAAACAGGGTGCAATGCCCGGATTTCAAATTTATTAGAACAGCCGAGGGGTCACATGGAGACGGATGATCAGTCTCCCTCGCATAGCCAAGCTCTGTTAAGCCATGCGTGATATCAGCATACGGTTGAACTGACCCAGACAACCAGAAAGACAATTGGGGCAGGGAATAGGACACGCGTTGTCATGTTGCCACTGGGGTCTTATTACTTTTAGATCCTTGCGACGTAGCAGCTCTGGTTCGTCGAAGTCCTTTTGATTTCTTCTTAAGTTTCTCCAGCAACGGAGACGCAGGTTTCCTGTCGAGGCTTTTATTGGAACATGTGAAAAGCACAGGAATTAAATGCTACTTCATGATTTTCCACCTAGGCATGGGCTCTCTGAGAAGACAGTCGGGACATATTATTGCCTGCTTGGATGTGCTGTGTCGAATCCATTCGAAAGGGACCGCTAAGGCCGTCGAACTACAGTAGAATGCAGGCGAGGCCACACTGGTTAAGGTAACACTGATCATTCATCTATGACGAAACGTTCAGTTTTGCAAAAAAAACTAGGTTCGGGCAGTCAAATAGGCAACTTCTGGCATTCACCGACGTCAGAAAAGATGCTCTGGGAACAAATGTGAAAAGTTATCCAAAATGATGGAGAGCAATGCTCAGATGCCCACTTTCTTGAAGATCCTTGTTGAAATTCGAACTTCCTAGAACATGCTTTCCACAACTAATGACATCTCAAGAAATGAACTGGCTCAAAGCTGTCAAGATGCACAAATATGAGAAGACGGAAAACATAACTTTGTAGGCTCAAATGTCGGCCCTGGATACAGGCAGAAAGTGTTGCCTGCAAACTTTGCAAATGCGAAAATACAATTCCTCGTGATGTTGGCCAGAACTGTGAGCTTTGGTCTCCAACCATAAGGATGGCTCTTTCAGCGCACTGACAGTGTGCGGAGGGGCGCATTTGTGTCCACCAGAGCCGTGTCATAAGTACGTCCAAATCACAGGTGAAATGCTCTTTCAGCCGGTGGAGCTGCATAAATTAACTTATGACAGAGGAATACTGGTAAGGTAGGGCTGGGAGTTCTCTGGTTAACCTGTTAATCCGATAGCTATTTTGGTGCTTAGTAAGTTAATTGGTTAGTCGCTTTGTAATTGGTGTGTTACTTTGCCAGTTTATTATTGGTTTGTTAATGTTTTACCATCATTAGTTTGAGATTTTGTTAGCTTATTCTATTCGTAGTTTGTTAGTTTGCTGGTTTGTTAGGTAGTCTGTTAGTGTGTTTAAGCATATTTGTTATGCTTTGTTAGTTAGTTCGCTAGTTGGTCAGTTACCTAG